TAAACCTTGAACCTTAAGTTCATATGGCTAGCTTTAGGCTTCACACTTAGAAAGGATTCTAAGAGGTTTACTAATCCTTTAGGTTTTATTTTATCTTCAAAGTCTGTGTTGAGTAAGTGTCTATAAACCTAGCTCTTTAAATAGTTGCCCATGTGGATTTTTCAGAGCTGTCTATAGATTTTCCTTAACAGCTGTGCCCAGGATGTTCGGGAGCTGTATCAAAGGTAGTGGACTTTCTCATCACTTGTTCCAGTGAATTGAAGGATATAGCAGACACAGCTATCTCTTTGGGCTTCAAGGTCATTAAGTGCTTGAGAAAGGTAATTCAGTAACTTGCTTTTGCTGCACAATTTCTCTGCCAGTGCTTACTTACCTTTATTTTCAAGATCACACTCCCCGACAACTTGACTAGAGCTAACTTGTACAAACACTGCAGAAGGTCTACACGTATCTTGGCCAGCCTGGCACTGGGAGAAGGAGGTAGGGGCTGTTTCCCTTGAGACACAACTTCTCTCTCAATCAAAAATCTGCCGGCACAGTGATTTTAGACTGATTTTTCAGCCATAACCTAATTGCTGCATATTTTTTATTGGAACCAAATCAGGAAACACTCAGTATTAATGAATTTAAATTTGGCAATAGCCAAGTGCTTACACATGTTAAGCTACTTACGTCTAATAATTTTAAAAAACAAATCAAGTGATTTGAATTTGATTGTACTGTAAGATCACTTCTCTGGGACTGGGAGATGGGGGGGTGGAGGTTGTAGGGGATGAGACAGACAGACGCTAGGACACATCAGTGGATTTTCCAGTTAATGTGCCCTTTAGTTACCATCTGCAGATTGCATAAAACTTTGTGAGATCCTCAACTTAAAATAGCAACTGCCTTGCTATCTCTATATATTGAGATCACAATTCAGTCTTTGAAAAAAACTAAAACCATCTCCTAAGGACTGCTTTATTGTATTGTAGAGAGATACCTAGTGGAATCATGCAGATAATTTGTTGGTTTTGGCCTTTCCAAACCATTTGGGTTTCTCAAGTTATTATTATTTTTTCTTATTTTTTTTGGGGGGGGGTCATACCCGGCGATGACCAGGGGTAGGTTACTCCTGGCTCTGCACTCAGGAATTACTCCTGGCGTTGCTCGGTGGACCATATGGAACCCGGGTCAGCTGCGTACAAGGCAAACACCCTCCCCTCTGGCCCCTCAAATTATTGTTAAAGGGGTTTACTTCAGGGATTTAGCTCTATGTGAAATATTCTAGCCAGGACTATTTTACAGATTAAAATTGTTAGTGGTCTAGAAAATTAGAGAAGAAAAATAGGACTGTAAAATAGAAAGAAATGAATGGCAAACAGAAGTCTGAGGGGTTCCTTAAAAGTCAGAAGGACAGATATAGGATGGTCCCATTCACCCTTAGTACAGGCTTTGGACATTATCAATTGACTATAACCCTTGAAAACCAGACTATAGATGTGAGCTTGTCAAGTTTGGGGAGAAGGGGACCAGGGACAAACAGGCTGCTGAGAAGTGACATAGCAAAGTAAGTGGAGGTTTTGAGCTCTAGAGCAGTTTCAAGGGAGGTAACAGTATAAACCAAAATCATAACTGGCATTGAGCCACAAATAATGGGGGAAGGAGGACGGCCCTTGGCACTTCGGTGGTGGGGGTGTGCAATAACTTTGAACACCAAATAACTGAAACAAACACTTTTGAATCTAATTACCTAAACTATTATAAACAACAAACAAACACTGCCATCCCGTTGTTCATCGATTTGCTCAAGCGGGCCCAGTAACGTCTTCATTTTGAGACTTATTACTGTGTTTGGCATATCAACTACATCACGGGTAGCTTGCCAGGCTTTGCCGTGCGGGTGAGATACTCTCAGTAGCTTGCCAGGCTCTCCAAGAGGGGCGGAGGAATCGAACCCGGCTTGGCTGGGCTGGCTGCGCACAAGGCAAACGCCCTACCGCTGTGCTATCACTCCAGCCCACCAAAACTTTATTTTTTGGTTATTTCACAAATTGGGACAAGGGTTTAAAATTATTAAAAATTTAAATGAAAAATTTCCCTTTAACAAAGAGAGAGAAAAAATAAGGAGCCAGAAGATAGTTCAAAGGGTTAACAGTACAAGCTTGGCATGTGGGACCCCTGGGGTCCATCTCTGACACTATATAGTTCCCCAGAATCATCAGGTCTGGCCTGGAACTTCCCCACCCCTCCACATATACATACCTAAAAGAATAAATGGAAAAGTTTTTATGATAGGATTTGATGATATCAGTTTATTATTCTAACAAAGATGCATTTGTCTGTTTTCTGTTATCTTTGGGTATTGTTTCTTCTTACTTTCTCTCTGGGGCTAAGCAAAGTGGGTAGGGCATTTGCCTTGCATGTGGCCAACCCAGGTTCGATTTATCTGTTCTTCTCGGAGAGCCTGGCAAGCTCCTGAGAGTATCCTGCCCGCACGGCAGAGCCTGGCAAGCTCCCCGTGGTGTATCCAATATGCCAAAAACAGTAACAACAAGTTTTACGATGGAGACGATATTGGTGCCCGCTTGAACAAATCGATGAACAACGGAAAGACAGTGCAGTGCTACTTTCTCTTTGAATTTTAGAGGTCAGCATCTCAACCCTCTCAAAAATCTTATGTGCTACTTCCTATGACCACACTTGCAATATATTACATCTATTTTGAGGAGCACCAATAAATACTACAAAATTTTTGAATTCATGTTATACATTCATTTTGTCACATGGATTCATTTCCATATTTAAATTGTAGTGTTACAGATGTGACACTTTTAATTCTGTATCTGGCAAAGTTATTTTGAAAGTAATTCAGTTGACTGCTGTCATTCTGCTTTTCTTCACTTGCTGTTCTCTTAGAATTGCTCTATTTATTGGTGGCATTTGCTATAATTCTATAAAAGAAATTCTGACTGGACTTTTTTTAAAAAATGGAGATAATATGAAGAGCATATTTACTGCATTGAAAGTAAGATCACAAATTCCACAAATATGAAATAAATGAATCATTCCAAAATTATGGCAATAAGGAACAAAATTTTGCAGAGAATTGTAATTAGCTGACCTAATCCTTGCATAGGGAAAAAAGAAGTTGATCCTATTTTAGCCATAAGTATTTGCTGCCTTAGCAACTAAATCTGTTCATTTAGTGATTCAAAGTTTAGCTCAACCTTTTGGAATGTGTAACATTCTGAAATAAAATATTGTGTTCAGAAAACCTGAGAAACAGCAAAAGCAATATTAAATATAGGAACTAATATTCCACATAAAGGGGACCTTATTAGATATTAATTTTGATCAATGGTGAAATGCAGATAATGAAGTGACTGTTTATTTCAGGAGTTATGAGTATGTTATCAGTATTCTAAACTGAGATGGATCATTTATTATGTACTGAGAAAAAAATTAAACAGCTGAGTCTAGATGTTCTCATGAATAGAAATTTAAGTAGCCAAAGTTGCCAAAGTATTATCAATTCATAAAAATGAATTAATAAGCAAATAAAAATGAACTAATAAAACAGATTTGGGGGAGAAGTACAAGAATTTATGCAGTGGAATTTCTTTTTAAAGAAATTAGAGTTTTAAGGAAAATGCTTATAATTATTTATTTTTGATGTTATGAAGCTGAATTTTATGATAGTCAACTCACTAAGCACTGTACTGTAGCACTGTCCTCCCATTGTTCATCAATTTGCTTGAGCGGGCCCTATAACATTGTGCGACTTGTTACTGTGTTTGGCATACTGAATACTGTAGCGTTAGCTTGCCAGGCTTTGCCATGTGGGCAAGACGCTCTCGGCAACTTGCCGGGCTCTCTGAAAGGAGCGGAAGAATCGAACTCAGGTTAGCAGGGTTGGCCACACTCTACCTGCTGTGCTATCATTCCAGCCCCAACTCACTAAGAAATGACAAAATAACAAACAATAAACTTTGTGGAATAAGTATATGCCAATTTCAAATATTCTCTTCACCCAACTTTGAATTCTATACCATGACAAGACTTTGCAGAAAATCATAAAGCACAAGAATTTCTGTCATGTTCAAATCAACAAACAGTTTTAAGGCAAACACATTTATGAGGAAAGGAAAAAAACCAGAATACGTCCTTCTCTTCAATATGAAAAATTTGAACTGTGATCTCTAATTATCTGTTCCAAGTTTTAGGAGTGTGATGCCCTCATATGTTTCTAATATTTAAAACAATAAGGAATGCTAAGAATATTTGCAATAGATTGTTTAAGGGATTATTTTAGAGGCAGAATTTATTATTTCTGAAAACTGTGACTTCCTTAGTAGTTTTATGATTGACAACTCTAATCCTAGATTTGTGGAACCTAATAAAGTATGTTATGCTCTTGAAGTGTTTTTAAAAACGAAGACCAACGATTTCCTTTTGAAGTTCTTAAAAAAGTGTTTTCTCATCATTCAGACTGAATTTCTATTTTTGGTTCTACAGTTTTGACTCTGTTCTCAGGAGAACCTGCTCTCTGGAAGAAATAGAATTCTTCCCGCCAATGGCCAGAGCTTGATGTTGCCATAAAGAGAATCCAACAGAATTGTCACCTACATCGTCACCACACCCCTCTAATAGGCATGTAACAAATAATTCTGAAAGTCATATTAATAGCAGGGAATCAAGATGTCTGCCAACTTCTCACAGGAAGCTGGTGGTGAAAGAGGGAATAAAATCCAGGCTTGCAGGGCACTAGCTAGGCATTCTGTGTGGTCTCCCACACTGCTTCTCTTTTCAACTTTCAATTCAAAAGCGAAAACAAAATACCATAGCTATAATGCCACCAAGGACGTTGGCTTTACATACGAACCAACTGTGCCCCCACTCCTGTTTCTGATACTAACAACCACTGGAAGAGAGGATAAGGTGAATGTCATAAAAATATCATAAAATACAATTCAATTCATGCTTTGTGGCTGACCCTGTGTCGTCTTTCAAATACATACCATGGCCATCGTCCAGGAATTCAGTGATGGTGGCTGAGGTGCATTTGGACCAGGGTTTGGATGCATCAATGCTGGTCAGGATGGAAGACATTAAGCGTTTATCTTCTGTGGAACCAAAATTCTCTTCGCAGAATTTGGAATCATCATGGGACAGGCCAAGGAGATGCCCTAAAAATATATAGGAAGTGCAAATACTGAGTGATTCTGTATTTAGACTTTTCTGTAAGGATTAGGATAGCACTTGATTTCTACCACTGTAACTACACATTAGGTTCACTGTAATTGCCTTCTATGTGGTGAGGGGATCTCTCCCAGGAAATTAAAATCTGTAAGTGGTTAAAGTCAATCACTTTTGGTGACTATTGACAGGAAAATTTTAAAAGAAACATGAGGAGATGAATGTTCCCATAATCCATCTGGATCACACATGCCTTATGATATGCAGAAAGAAGCCATGATTTAGCCTAGAATTTGAAAAATAACTGAAGGATATCTCAGTACTCTCTATACATATCATTTTGATTCCTTATCTAAGTTTCCTCATTCTCTGATCTACCATAAGCCTGATGGAATCAGAGAGTACCTCCCCTCATCTGTGATGAAAACCTCTGAATTTAATTCAATGCTCTGTAAGTTGTAAAATACTTAATTTTTCAATCGATGATTTCTAATGTCTTGCCCAAGTAAATAGGTTAAATGTAGCAGAGATCACTAGGAGGAGCCAAAGAAAGAGAAACAAATGTAAGTTTACCCTTCTCTTTCAGTAACTGAGGGGTGACCCTATACTGATATTACTAGAAAATGGAGATATTTTGAAAATATATATCATTTATTTTGAAAATATACTCATTTACACTTGAATATTGCCTAAAATATCCATATAGTCATCACGGAGTGTTAGAAATTGAAGAGAAATAAATGTTGAGAAGGTAAATGATTATCCCAAAACACACAGAGAGGTGATGCTTGCATGTATGCCACTGTGTTCTCTGCAGCCCACAATGTCATTTCTACTCTACCAAACTAGGGATTATTTCATACAGTACCTAACCACATTTTTATCATCTGATGACCTTGTTTTCTATCACATCAGTTTATTTTTCATATAGTCTAAGGAGAAAAATGAGCACTAGCACAGCAGTAGGGCATTTGCCTTGCACACAGCCAACATGGTCGATCCGAGTTCAATAACTACACCCCCTCTCAGAGAGCCCGGAAAGCTACCAAGAGTATCTCGGCCTCAGGGCAAAGCCTGGCAAGCTACCCATGACATATTCGATATGCCAAAATACAGAAACAACAAGTCTCACAATGGAGACGTTACTGGGCCCACTCGAGCAAATTGATGAACAACGGGAGGAGAGTGATAGTGATAGTCTAAGGAGAAAATGACATTCTCTAATAAATCTGAGATACTTTTTAAAAAAATCCAGCACAACAGTTTATAGAAACTCTAAAACAGTAGACAATATAGTTTGCTTGTCCAATCTTTCATAGAGTCATACACAAGTTAGTGGATGACAATGAAGAATACATCTTAGAAAAGGGAGCACCACCACATTCTCTGTGGGTTTCCTGAAGCCAAAGAAGGAATATTGTGGCCATGCCAACAAAAAATTCATAGTGCATCAGTCAAAACCCAACAAAGATGCAATTTTCCATGCTGCATTTCAACCATTTTTGGTCAACTTGTCAAATCAACAGCACCTCATAAGGAAATTGTCCTCTGAGCAGGTGGTCACTATTGTTGGTTGCCACTCGGTCTGGACTTAAGAGTTTGAGCTGTGGTGAGCTTCTAAGGCCTCCAATTTTGCATGTTCCTTCTGCAACTATTTACTGTATCAGTTTTTACTAGATTAGCAAGTTTCCTTCAATAAGTAGAGCACTCTCTTTTTATTTGGTCAGTATCATGAATCTCCATAATATATAATTTACCGCACAAAATGAAGTCCAATTTGGGGTGGAATGTAGAGGTTTTTTTCCCAAGAACTCAGTGCTAACAAAAAAATTTAGAATATCTTATTCACAGCATATTCAAAATTACTAATGAATCAAGCACTTACTGAGAATGTTCTGTGCATTTAAATTTTTTTTTTTTGTGGTAGAATCTTTACTAACACTATGGGGTTTATGCAGCACTGAATTATTTTATTTATTTGAATCCGGTTTTGTCATTTTTAAGATGATATTTTTCATTCAACTTCATAAAATATTTATATTGAACAGTATTAGTCTTTTCATCCATGTAAAGAAATAACATTTCCCATGTGCATTTATTTCTATTACAGCATCATGGAATTTTCACTTCATTTGAAGGTAGATTTAGATTGCTTATTTCAAATGTAAGCCATGTGGCAAACACTAAATTTGCTTTTAGGGACCCAGAATATCATATCATTGTCTTCTTTCATTTGGTGTTTTAAAAATTGTCAATTTTGGAGGTAAAGCAATTATGTTTACCATACAGTGGTTTAGCATAGTATGAAGACTTTTGATCTATTTAGTTGGCAAAATATTGTGAATTTTATGCTACCTCAATTTGCCAATATATTCATATAACTAAACTGCTATTGAAGATATGCAAACATTCAAAGCAATAAGAAATGGCTATTTTATACATAGCCATTCTATGTATGAAAATATTATAATTGCACTTCAGAAAGAGCTAATAGAGATATGAATTTTGTAAAATCTCCAAGAATTGATTATGAAAGGACTATTTGACTAATTCTGAGAGATGAATTCTTTGAAGGGCATATGCACATCTGGCCTTAACTAATAAATTCTGTCTGTCTCTGGTAGAAAGGTGTTAGTAATGAGCAACCAGAAGAATGTTTAAGGCTCCAAAGAAACAAGCAAACAGTTCCCCTGTAGCTGGAACCAGTACTCATGTGACTTCCCTCCTGGATCTCGACAGCAATTGAAATGGAAGATCAATATGAGGGATGTTTGGACGCTATTCAGGAAAGATGTAACAGACGTACTAAGGCAGTAAACAGCAAAAGAAATCATATTTTCAAATATGCGTCTTCCCAATCAGCTATTCTCTGCCATCTAATATCAGTCTTAAATTTGTTGATTAGATTTGAATACTGAAATGGCAAGGCAAGGCAATTAAAGCACAGACAATAAAGAAGGGCAATTCACATTACAGACAACGCATTATAATACCAAATACACAATGTTTAGTAACACACTATTTTAGTGTAATAACACACTACATTTAGTATAAACACACTTAATGCTAAGCATATTAGCAGAGAAACACTTAGGATCTAAGAAACTTAAAATATGTTGCTAGCTAACATTGTTATATTTCAAGTAGACGTGGTGAAGGACTATCATAACTTATCACTCCACTGATTGACTATGTCAACGCTTATCTCCTCAGATACTGACTTTCCTGGTGAAAGCTTGTTCATAAAGAACCCACAGAGAGATTTAAAATTATTGGTATGAAATGGGGAAAAAGGTTTTCTCTCAAGCACAGCCTTCTGCAAGATTAGCACAAGTAGGATTTAAACCTATGAGCCCAAAAGAGCAAGAGAGTAAATAAAGAGTAGGAGAGAAGGTTTTTAACTCCTAAAGTAGTTTGGTTTTGTTTTTATCAAAATGTTGTTGGCTTTTTTAAGCAGCAAAGATAGTGAAAGAGGGAAATTTTAGACAAGGGAGGGGGATTCAGAATCCCACAGGGAAAGGCAATACTTACGCTTGGACAAAGTGCTTTTTCTTTCTTAAGTCACAGTAGGAAAGTAAGGCCAAGAGGATTCAAGAAATTTTGAAGATTAAAATAAGATATTTAAAGAAACATAACCAACTTCTCTTGTAAACCTGGACCTGGATATGCCTTTCCTGGTGAGAGATAGGCAGATTGGGATGTAAGATGATGATTCATCACCAAGGTTGTAAGTAGGCCCCAAAGTCTTTTTTTAAGAATTATTATCTGTGTTTGGAACCATCCATCTGCTATCGGTAGACTTGCAACATGTATAAGATTGGAGAGTAGAGTTTGATTTAACTAAATTAGGTCATACTGCTTATAAAAGTGTCTTTAGTATCCCTTGATCTTTGATTTGATGCAATGGAAACTTCTCAAATAAAATTTGGAAACATTTAAAAAGTAGTAACATGAATACATGGGCCCACCTTTAACAGATTTTGCAATATGTGCTAAATAAGGGAAAACAGGGCTACTGAGCAGAGTTAAAATGAAATTTAGAGACTAATCAACTATGAAATCTAGTATGTTCCCAAGCCAGGCTGATTTCAAATTTTTTTTGCTGTTTGAAATCATTAAGAGAATAAATTGCAAAATTTAAGTGCTTTGGTAGAAAATTCTGCTCTTTTCTTCATAGATATAAAATCACACCAGATGTAGAACAGTGTAACTACATCATAAAGCAGTTTATTGGAATTCTAGTAGGGAAAATAATTTCATGTCAAATTATATAAAAATAAAATCTATGAAGTCTTCATTACATTGTCAACTCAGAAATAGCAACTAGTGAAAAAAATGATAATTTTAGTAGTATTATATACTTTTAAATGATAAAATGGGTGATTTATTCAATAAAATAAAATTATTTGATTTTATTTAAAAATTTAAATTAAAAAAAATTGTCAACTTAAGTTCTCAAGTGAATCTGCATTTAGAAACTATGGGATAGAAAATCCCTATTGACTTTAAAGCCTGAGTGAAGAAGACACATTATTTTAAAGGAAAATATTGCTTCAGCCTCTTATTCTACTCCGGTTGGCTTATAACATTAACCTCAGAAGGAAATAGGTTGTTTTTCTAAACTTTGGGCTGCAAATTAAACAGAAATTCAAGCTCCTGTCTCCTGATCCCAAACTGACCAATGGACAAAAGGATACACACTATAGCTTAATATATATATATATATATATATATATATATATATATATATACAAGAAGCTCTGTAATGTGTTTACCTAAGGGACACACAATTCGATTGAAGCATGTTTTTTTTTAGTTAAATCATGTTTTAATTTTACCTAATTTTCCAGGGGGAAATTACTGAGGTGCATAAAGCTCTGAGTAGAGATTGAAAGTGAGTCAGTAGCACACGTGGGGTGAGAATCAATGATTCTTTTAAAAATAGAGCAACTGGATCACACATGTCCATCCAAATGCTTATCCTTATGTA